TTTCCTCTCTCCTTCCTTCCTTCCTTCCTTCCTTCCTTCCTTCCTTCCTTCCTTCCTTCCTTCCTTTCTTTCCTTCCTTCCTTCTTTCTTTCTTTCTTTCTTTCTTTCTTTCTTTCTTTCTTTCTTTCTTTCTTTCTTTCTTTCTTTCTTTCTTTCTTTCTTTCTTTCTTTCTTTCTTTCTTTCTTTCTTTCTTTCTGTTTTAATGAATTAATGCATTGCCCAAATTGTGCTTATGTGCTCTTGCTGGGATGCTACCCACATTCAGAACTCATATTGGCTACTTCCAATCTGAGGAATATCAGGTTTACATTTGTTTGCCTGACCACCAGAATCTAACCAAAGGAGGAAACATTTGTTTATTTATTTGTTAGTTGTCAAAGGTCAGGTCAAGTCACAAGGGGTCCAGGTGCATCTGGCACATCATTATCATCATCAGCAGAATTAGAAGGGAACTTGGAGGTCTTCTAGTCTAATTCCCTGCTCAAACTGGAGACTCTGTGCCATTTCAGAAAAATGGAAGCCCAGTCTCTTCTTAAAAACCTCCAGTGATGGAGCACTCACAACTTCTGAAGGCAAGCTGCTCCACTATTAGGAAATTTCACCTTAGGTTGCTTCTCTCCTTGATTAGTTCTTTGTCTTGCCTTCTGGTGCTTTAGAAAATAAGTTGACTTCCTCTTCTTTGTGGCAGCCACTCAAATATTAGAAGACTGCTATGATGTCACCCAGTGGTGGGATTCAATTTTTTTTTACTACTGGTTCTGTGGGCGTGGCTTGGTGGGCGTGACAGGGGAAAGGAGACTGTAAAATCTCCGGTCAGAGGTGGTATTTGCAGGTTCTCTGAACTACTCAAAATTTCTGCTACTGGTTCTCCAGAACTGGTCAGAACCTGCTGAATACCACCACTGATGTCACCCCAGTCCTTCTTTTCACTCAACTAGACATACTCAATTTCTGCAATCATTCTTCAGAGTTAAATTTATATCTTGCCTTTCTGTCAGAAGGCAGCCTATATAGCAGTTCCTTCTCCAATTTTCTTTTATGACAAGAAGATTGGCCATGGCTTGGTGGGCATGGCAGGGGAAGGATCCCATTCCCTCCCCACCCCACTAACCTGCTTTCCAGCTCCGTTCTCCTGTGCAGGGCAACCAAAGAAGACCCAGCCGATCAGCTGGGACTTGGGAGGCAGAGAATAGATGGGGACGTGGCCAGTGGTATTTGCCGGTTCTCCAAACTACTCAAAATTTCCACTACCAGTTCTCAAGAACTGGTCAGAACCTGCTGAATACCACCTCTGCTATGAGTGAGTAATTGGCCCAAAGTCCCAGCAAAATTTAAGGGCGAGCCATTTGGATTTTCCTGGTCCTAGATCAATATTTTAAGCCCTGCATCAATTCAGAACATATTCAGAATATACTGTCAGTAAGAAGAACTCTTCACATTGTCGGGTCATATTTCCTGACTCCAGTGAGGAGATAAGAAACTATTATCTATAGCTCAAACTATGTGTCCTGCTAGCTTCTGCAACACAGTATCCTCCAAGTAATAGTCTAATAATCTAATATTTTTTTTGTTTCATTTACCAGAAATCAAAAGAAGATGTCAGTAACTTTGATCCTGAATTTTTAAAGGAAGAGCCGATCTTGACTCCCATTGAAGAAGGAATACTATCCATGATCAACCAAGAGGAATTTAGAAACTTTTCTTATACAGATCCAGAATTAGAGTCTTAGCTCCATGTTGACTGGACTCTCTATTCAGCAACAAAGAACGATTGGAATATGGGATTGCCTAGACAGGACCATCCAACAGGCAGACTTATATTATGCATCAGAGTAAAGAGGAGGAAAATGAGCTCAGCAGGAAGAAGTAAACAAATGACGCACAAAAGAGGAATGAGTAGAGCTTGTTAGCTCTGAAAGGCTACTAAAGTAACTTTGTAGTAACTGTGGGGAATTTCTAGAAAGACAAAACCAACTCTGAGCCAAAACTACCTTTCTGCAGCACTGATTTCCCACAAAATAACTCAGTTGAACTACTTTCTTCAATCAAGGAAGCAAAAAGAGAATAAGGCTGACTGGTTTGAACGGTATTAGGGAAAGGTTACATGTGCTACCACTTTGCTTAGAGGTTATGGGTTCAGGTTTCCTCAAACCTGACTGAGTACACATCTGTTAGAAATATTTTGGGCTTCCATTTACAAATATATGGAATTACACATATTGACAGGAAGGAAAGAAAAAGGGAGAGGGAGGGAGGGAGGGAAGGAAGGAAGGAAGGAAGGAACGGTTCCATCATCTCTATCTTTATCATTATCTACCAGATCCATAAGAAAAATTGGTGCAGAAGGGGAAATCGGCTGCGGAAAAAAATTGTGAATTTTTTGGTCGGAACCCGATTTGGTCGTGGTCAGAAGCGTTCATGACCAGAGGTTCTACTGTACTGGCAATCAGTTCAAAAAGGGGAACACCACAATGCACTCTCGTGTTAAGGGACATGTGTCCATGTGAAGGAACAGGAGAATCAATCCACCTGCTACCTCTGCATTAGAATGAGGGAAACATTATCTGCAAATTTGTAAAATACTGAGGTTTTGTATATTTTGGCTAATTTAGTTTTTAGGGGTTTCTTCTTCTTTTTTATGACTTTTATTCTTTTCTCCTGAATTTGCAGAACAAAGTGCAGCTGATTCTGTCTTTTTATATAAAGACAATTTTACTTCGATTCCCTTTACTAACTGATGGCATTTCTGACTCTTAGCTGCTTGTTTTTTTTAAAAAAATTGAAATTTAAAAAATGTAGCGGTTAAATTATTTGTCCACCTATATGAAGGGCAATACACTGAAGCTATTTGTAACTTAATTCATGTTCTAAAAACGAATTAAGAGAACCCACACAATATTTGATATATTGTGGACATGTGATGTCTTTGCCTCGAGTAACACGGAGCTAGGAGACTCTTGATCAAGCCAGGAAATTTAATCTGTTATTGTTACTATCTATATCCATTTTCAAAGCATGTAATAATATATGCAAGTATCCTGGTGTTACCAGATTCTGCTTTATTGATCTCCAAGCACATCAATCCACACTTTAATTAAACCAGATGTCAACTTTATTCATAAATCAATTTGAACTGTAAAGTAATACAATAAATTCACCAAAATATTGAAAAGATGAGTGGAAGTTTGAAGCTGGGTAAAATACAAGAGATAATATAGAATACAGTCCCCAAATATCTGCAGGAAGCAAACATATAGTATCATTTAGCACGTAGCAAGATGATACTACTGAAATCCTCAAATCGGATTATATTTAAGGATATTCAAAATTTATCTTAGAGTATCATGCAATCCCTGCCCCCTCCCCCCAATCATAAGGACCAATCTTGGGGAATAAAATATAGGGTTATTTCCATCTTTAATTGAGAATACTTTGTCTTCTCAGTGAGATTCCCCATTACTTTCTACTTCCCATAATACATATGTCCCATGTCTGCCCTGAACATTACTGAAATGGGACTCAAGAAAGCACCCAAAATCAATGATATGAGAGAATTGTTTCATTCTGTCTAATATTAGAACTCTCCTTAAATGGACTTGCATGCTCAGTTCAGTAAGTTATTTGTCACCTGGGATATCTATTGTTGGTGACTTCTGTACCCAAATCAATATAGCAGCCAGTTCTCAAGGGCAAGCTTATGAAAAGGTACAGCTAAAGTGTAAAGTTTTGTTAATTTATTATATTGGGTCAACTTATACCACATTCCATCTAAATGGTGAGATGAGAGCTATAGGCCCCCTTATTTCCTCAGATATCTGATTACAGGTATATAATCACCACCACTTGGCTGATTTAATTTACAAGAATAACTGTTTCCTGAAATGTACCAAATCAGGCTACAAGAAGAGGACGTAGAGATTTCTTGCATAACGGGGGGAAATCCAATAGTTAGCATTTTTGAGAGAAGATTCAATTATAGCAAACCTTCAGCTTAATGGATTGTAAAGAAATGGTTCACCTTCAAAATATACTTAGCTTCACTAACCTTCAGAAGTACATATTTAATCAAAATGAAAGAGGATTGTGAATATTTAACAGATGTTGACACTCAGTATGGCAAATTCAAATGGACAGGAATATAGGAACGCCTTCTCCAGGTTCGTTAATTAAATCTTTTACTTAAATCTGGTACTTTGGACAAATAATTATTTGCCAAAGAGGTGTACTTTGGATGACAAACTGATTTTTTCCACAAAAGTCCCATCTTTGCATGAGACACAAATATCTTAGAACATTTCCCAAACTTTTTGCTAAGTAGGAAATAAGATTGGTTGATCTTCCCCAATTGGATTATTTGGGTTACTGAATGTGTACAGATAGAATACAAATGGATTATACAGAAATGGGGTCCATTCTTTCTAGATCCATCTAGAAATGTGAAAGGTGTCCAAATCTTTCTTGTCTTTGCAAAATCTATAGAATTAGTCCCAGTTTTGCTGAATGCTGACGACCACTCTCTCAACTTCTAAAGAAAGGACATAAATGTAAATTATGTACTGAACAGCACTTACCAGAACTTTTTAAAAATCTTCTCTCCCCAAGCCACTGCTCAGACATCTGGATCCCTTTTGTCCCTTTGATGTACAAGCTGATGCCTCAGGCTATATTAGGGTTAATCTCCTTCAAGCTTCAGCAAAGGGAGGACAGGATTTCTTCCCTTGTGTATTTTACTCCAGCTTTTATACCTGATTCCAGGTAAAAGGAACTGTGGCATTTTTAAGAGAACTGCTTGAGATAAAAGCAGCACTCCATTAATGGAGATGTTTGTTGGAAGGAGCATCTATCCAGAGTAAGTACCAGGAGTGGGATTTCTACCAGTTCGCACCTATTCGCTAGAACCGGTTGTTAACGTTCTAAGCAGTTCGGAGAACCGGTTGTTAGAAGAAATTACTGGCCTAATCTTGTAAGGAAGGCAGGAAGGAAACATTCTGGTGTTGCTTACAGAAACTGCCTCTCTGTTAACCCTTATTATATTCTTGGCAGGACTAGACTTCCTGTCTCTGGAACTTCTCTGGAGTTTTTTCCCCTCCTTTGCTAGTACTTTGCTTGCGTGGAGTGACCATTCAAAGTTACAATGGCACTGAAAAAAGTGACTTATGACTGTTTTTCACACTTAACGACTGTTGCAGCATCCCCACAATCATGAGAGGCCAGACGAGGAGATGCGTGCCTCAATGTGAGTGATGTTGAGTTGGCCAAGCCCAGCCAATAACATGACCATCAAGCCACGCCCACCAACTAAGCCACGCCCAGAGAACCGGTTGCTAAAAAAATTGAATCCTACCCCCTGGTAAGTACCCAAGTGCACATAGATCTGAAAAATTCAGGGTACTTCCAAAAAAACACAGGTACTCACGCCCTGTCAGATCAGACCGATGCAATTTTTCTCCCATTTCAGTGTTTTGTTTTGCCTATGTTCCAGGGTCACAGAAGAAGCTACCAGTACCAGATGCACTATCATGCAAACCTTGACTACAATCAGTGGTGTTATGCTACCGATTCAGAACGGTTCTTCTGAACTGGTAGTAAAAAAAAAGCCTCCGAGGATCAGCTGAGAGGAGGAAAAAAATCCTCCTACAACTGGCTGAGGGGAGAAAGAAGAGAAAAGCGCAGGATCAGCCCTCCCATCCGCCCCTGCGCTTTTCTCTTCCTTCTCCTCTCTCAGCTGTTTGGCGCTGCAGGCCTCAGCTGGTGTGGGAAAAGCTGCGCATGCGTGATCACCAAACCGGTAGTGGAACAGGCAGGATCCCACTGCTGAATACATTCCCTCCTTTTCATTGTCTCGAACCTGAATCGCCTTGTCCCTCTTCTAACTATACACCTTCCAGATAGGTTGGAGCCAGGAAAGCAGGTTTGGTCTAGATTGCAACAATAGGATCTATATGTCAGGACTCAGTTGTACCATCTCCAGGGCAAATTACAGAATGATTTGTTCCCTTTTTCTATAACTGGCAGACAGTTGTTTCATAATGGCATTTTATATGTTCTCCTTCATATAAGGGAAGAAATATTGCAACTTCACTATGACAACAGAAATGCTGGACAAGAGGAAGTGTTTGAAATGGCCATGGGTACTATCGGCAGTCTGGGGGTCAAGAGTTAGAGCAGAAGTCAAGGTCCATATTTCATCCTGCCATATCTGTCAATGCACCAAGGGGGCCTGATTAAATCAAACAGTTTAATTTAGAACCCTCCCCTCCCCCTCATGGCCCTGAGGCACAATATCCATGGATTTTTACTACCAATCTTCTACATATAAAAGTGTATAAGCCATTTTCGCAGTGCCAGATTTGTTTAGTGAAACGCTCATTTCATTTTTGGCAAAGGCTTCCCTTTTCCTCAGAAAACTATACAACTCTTTCTGTAGCCTGTGTCAGGGCTCTGACAGTTACCCCCATTTAAATAACGAGTCTCTAGTCTAACTTCCAAAACTTAAAGAAGATTTATTAGGAGTAAACATGCCAGCGCTGCCTCGGTGTAGCTGACTTTGAGACACATCATTCATTGTCACCCTTGACCCTGGTTTTCCCTCACCCCCTGGGTGTACCATAATTCGTATTCTCCAATGGGACACATCCATAGCCAAGAGTAATCAATCGTGTTCTCCAATTAGAATTTTGCACGGCAGAAACTTCGGTCACCTAAAAACTATCTTTGAAAACATTTATGGAATGCAAGCTGCCCACTGCTCCTCCCTCCCTTTCTGTTGGCAAGTCTAAAAAGACCATAGAAATATTTTACAAGTTGACAGCTTGTTTTGAGTACAGGGACTTGGATCATGGCTCTCAACTTACATCCAGGCTTTGCGAGGACCACCTCTGATTATGTTGGATCTACAGTATTTGTCATTGTGTCATTTTAGTTAGGCATTATTGGGTAACTGCCGAATGCGAAACAATCATCTATGTCTCTTAACCCCAGAACCTTTGGAATAAACTGTTGCCTTTTGCAGACTTTGTCTATAACTCAATTCATTCCTCCATAGGTATGTTTCCTTTTCAGGCAGTTTTGTGGCTATCTGAATTTTGTTTGCACAATCAGCCTCCTATAGCGTTAAATAGCAATAGCATTTAGACTTATATACTGATCCATAGTGCTTTACTACAGAGAAATCACTCTCTGGGTGATTTACAAATGTCAGCATATTGCCTCAACAAGCTGGGTCCTCATTTTACCCACCTCAGAAGGATGGAAGGCTGAGTCAACCTTGAGGTGATCAGGATTGAAATCCAGGCTCTGGGCAGAGTTATCCTGCAATACTGCATTCTAACCATTGCGTCATCATGGCTCCATCCTTAAATGCATCCATCATAAGTTACTGCTTGATTAGTGATCAGATACTACTTCTACCATCTGAGGATATGGGTTACAGCAGCTTGGCAGATTTTTTTTTTATTGCATAGAGAGCTGTTCCTTATTTCCTTGGTCTGTTCTCTCCTGATTGAGTAAATTTCCTGTTAGCTGTGAAGCAAGTCTTCTCATGGCTGTTGCTTTTGAAGTACTTGTTCACGTGACTTGGTCTAAGCATTACATCTATGCTAATACTTGCTCAATCCAAAGGGCAACAGGAACTGCCCATTTTCTTAACAGCATACAACTCTCAAAGAAAGCTTTGGTGACCCTTATTCCAAATTGCAAGCTCAGAAGAGTCATCTGACCAGCAATTTACTGAATTTTGCCATAAATATTTCAACACCATTTCTCACCAAACAGATTGTCTGCTGTCTCACACTGTGCAGTTTGAGAGCGGTAAAAGTTGAGTAAACATTGCAGCGAACAATGAGTCAGTGTTTTAAGTTCAGTTCCAGGCAGTGCATTTTATCTGTCTTACCCTGAATTTAATCTTTCGAGTTCAGAACTACACACTTTTAGCACTTTAACCTGTTCGCACTTTTTGTCACTATGAGCTAAACTCTGCATCCACTTTTATAAGTTTTTGGTTCTTTCCTTGCTCCAGGATATTATCATGCTTCTTCTTTTTTATATAAAAAAGTTTTTATTTTTTACGACAAACATACAAACAAAACATAAAAA